TGTATTATTTAAAACAGGTGAAAACGAATATGAACACGGGTGGCTTCCTGCCCCGGGCTCTTGTACATTCAATCAGTCCAAACTTGGCTTGCTTTATGTTCAATTGAGGCTTTGCTGGTGTGCCCAAAACCAAACCCACAGTACCCCAGCAGAGCAGCCTACAGGACCGGGATATTGATTTGGTCCCCAGTATTTCGTTGCCAGTCGAACAGCAGCTAGGGACGGGCGAACGGGGTCTGTCTGCTCACGCTGGCAAATGGCTGGAGTCGGGTTTTACGAATGAGATTTCCCTGCCCTTAGCATGGAACCCGCTGTGTTTATGCCGCAGCCTCCCTTAGCCTGAGCCCGACCCGGGGGTGCCACATGCGGGCAAGTCTGTGGCGCGAAGAGGGAGATTTCGTTTGGGGGCCTAGCAGGGGCATCAGAGAGCGAAGCAGACGCTGTTTTCCCAGCACGGCTGAGCGGGGCTGGCTCGGTTCGGGAGCGGGGCCAGGCGCTGACCGCACTACACCGGATTAAAGACACTAGCGCGGGCTGACCTGCAATTAAACCCTTTCATTCCTCGGGTCCCCGCAATCTCGCCCAGCAGCCGAGGGCGGGGTTGACAACGAGCCTGGGAGGGTTTTGCTTTTCCAGCTCGTGGCCTTTTCTTTTCCACCCCATCTGCTTAGGAAGATAGTGGAGAAAAGAGATTGGGCACCACCAAAAGAGAGGCCCGGGCTTCCTGTGCTTCGCGAATGGGCTTGGTGGTGGCGAAAGAACCGGCTTGTCGGGGCCCCAAAGAGCCCGTTCCCAGCCTAGCCTAGTAACTTTTCCTTCCCTTTCATTGCACCACGTCAGACTCAAGGTCCCTTTTTTCAAAATAAAAAAGCTCGCCTCCCTTTCATCCCCTCCTCCTCCTCCGTGGCTGCAAAACCGGAACGATTGACACCCGAGAGGCTAACGTGAGGGGCGCTAAAAATAACCGTCCCCCGTTGAAAATACCGATTTTCATTTTCAAATCACTGTGCAGGGTAAGCGCGGCTTTTTTAAATGTGGGTCGCAGCTAGACACCAGGTCCCATGAGCAAATCGAAATGGTTGGAGCAGTCAGACTGCGGTGCCCAAGAAAACGATCAATCACCCCGTTTTCATTTGGGGGAAAAAAAGCTTGCAGCCCCCAGCCTACTTTCTGCAACCCCCTGAAGTCGATTCTGTTGTTGAGGAGGGAATTACCATGCGAAGGGAGAAGGACCTGGAAGGAAATCAAGCCGTCTACACGGCGATTCCCCACGCGGTTCTTGCCGTGAAACGGACCCGTTCAATTTCCCTGCGTTTAGGGGACTCGGGGTTGCGCTAAAGAATCTTTTTACAGTTAAATCTCACGGGCTGTTCGCCCAAGTGCCCGTGAACGCACCCTGGAGCGGAGCAGAACCAAAAGGCTAGCGCCCGCCTGACGCTTCCGACAGGAACAAATTAATCAAGAATGATTCCTATCATTCTGCTTCGGGTTTAGCAAGAAAAAAAAAACCCACCACCGTATCAGGGCGTGCGATTGGGGGCAGCTTTATCAAAGTCCGTCATAGTTAATATCCTTCCCCGCCTGGCAGCAGTGGGATCAATGAAGACAGCCTCCAGCTGTGCGCAAACTTGCAATTTCAATTAAAAGCCTGAGCTGCCGGCCCTGGGTTTGAGCGCGGAGCCGAGCGCAGTCATGGAAAAGTCATGTGTCACTCGGGCGCGTCCTGGGAAGTCCAGGGCTGAGGCTGGGAAGGAGGGGAAGGGGTAGACTTGAGCTCCTGCCGGCTCAGCTTCCTTTCCTTTTTTGGGGGGGAGCCAGATCTCGGGGGCGGGCAGGATACAACTGCCCGGGGGGGAGGGGAGAGTTACGATCTTCTGCTTAGTAAAAACCGTTTTCCACCGGGGCAGGCGCCACTCCCCGGGCACGGGTGAGGCAGGACAAAACCACGTGTCACCAGAGCTTTGCGCCTTTGGCCACTGACATGTGAACGGATCAAAATCCCCCTCCCTGCGCCGGCTTGTCTAGCCACTCCGCTGAGCCCACCACGGGCTTCTGCGCTCATCCTGCCTGGGCCAGAACCAGAACCAGAACCAGCCCTGGGCCGAGGCAGTAGCTGGTGGGTGCTGCCTCTCCGGCTGCAGCGTCTCGGGCATCCCTGCGGGTGTCTCTGGGCGGGCAGGGGGCTGGCGAGAGGCTCCATGTCTGTCCCGGGTCCTGCCCACGCGGGGATTTTGCAAGATGGGGAGCTGGGGGGGCGGTACTTTGAGGAGGACACCTGCTTGGGAACGTGCCCGGTTCTTTTTTCTGCCTCCTTGTGGGCCAGGAGCCTCCTGCCCCAGGGTCTCCCCCGGGAGCTCTTTGCCCCCACGTGCTCGGGCGAAGGCCAGGCCTGGGGTGGGGAGAGAGAGCCGGGCCCCTTTGCAAAGCCAGCTCCGAAGTGCCCATCCGCCCCCTGAGAGAGGGAGACATCCCTGCCAAGCAGGAGGGGGGCCGCCAGCCCCCGCAGCCCAGCCCCCCACAAGCGCCCCCCAGCTCCGGTTACCCTCCGGCCCGCTCTGCCGAGTCACCCCTGGACGCTGCCTCTCCCCACCCGCCCGAGGGGAAAGGCCTCAGGGATCCTGGCAGCCCCCAGGAGGACAAAGTTGTTCCTCCGGCTCTGCCCCGGCTTCTTGACCTGGCATTTGGCTGCCCCCCGGCTCCAGCCCTTCCTGGGGGGCTGCCCCAGATTCCCCGAGCCCCTGGGGATGCACAGTCCCGGGCAGAGCGAACCCGCCTCCCCCGGAGCAGAAGCTGCCTTGAGAATTCCCAGGAATTGGTTCTGCACTGGGGGTGGGGGTGCTCTCCAGCCATAGAAAAGGTTATTCCTTGTGCCGATCAAATCCCACCAGAGGGTCCCCCTCCTCTCCCCTAAATCCTAGCGCTCGGCTCCCAGCCCAGCAAACCCCCGCACTGCGCCTGCAATCCCGGGCTCTGAATTCGCTGAATTCCCCTTCGATTCTGCCCATAGGCCTGGGCTCGCATTGGGTGTGCGGGGGGTTAGCTGTTAGGGGAGAGGGGATGGAGCAGGTCGGATCTGCCCCTTTCTAGCCAGCCCCCAGGCCAGCTCGCCTGGTAGCAAAAAGCCAGAGGAGTGCGCTGCAAAGGGACCTTTGCTTTCCGCATGAGATGCATGCAGGGGGGAACCGGGGAAGAGAAGAAACCCTTTCCATAAAGGAGGGAGGGGGTTACCATTTAAAAAGTGAAGCCAGTTAAGAAGGGAGGGGGGAGGAAAGACAATAATCAGAGAAAGGAGCGGAAGAGAGCAAAAGACGGGGCAGTTTGGGGCCAGGGAAATGGTGACCTTGCAACGCAGGCTTCGGTTCCTTGCACCGGTTCCCCAGCCCCCTTTTCTCTTGCCTGAAATCATCTCGTTTACAGAAAATATTTGTTTGCACTATTAGTTGGTACTGGAGTTAATTACTCGATGTGTTAGCGTGGAGTAAGCTGGATAAAAGTAGGCTCAGTGTTTATTGTGTGGGTGAGCTGTTGAGCGGTGCTTGAATCAACTGCAATTAGGGTTAGATAGAGATTAATTAACATGTGAGTGGCAAGGTGTAGAGCAGTTCCCAACCCTCCCCGCGCTGGAGTCTGCGGGCGAGGGGGAGAAGAAGTTTGTGGCGGCTAATTAAATACTTTGCTAAAGCCCGCGCGCTTTGGGGCGAGCCGCACGTTAGCCGGGGCTTGTTGGGACCCCAATGTTTTCTTTCTGGCCGCTCTGTAGTGGGTAGCGGGCCCATTGTGATGCAGGGAAAGATGGCTAATGAAGCGGGGAGGGGGGAGGAGAGGGGCTGATGGAAGGTGGGGTGAGAAAGGGCCATGTGCCCCCCTGGGCCTGTCCTACAGGAGCGAAGGTGGACACAGCTTGATTTCGGCCGCCCTTTCCCCAAGACTTCGGTTGTAATGAAAGAGATGCCGGGACTCGAGCAATATTTTTACATTCACCACTGATGCCCCAAGCGCGGAGGTGCCAGGGACCAGCCTTTCCCCCGGCTGTTTTCAGAAATAACTGGAGGCGGCTAGTGGGTTTTTTTTTTTTAATTTTAAATCTACTTTCCGAGCTCCCGGCAGCACCCAGCTTAGGCCAGGCCAATGTGCTCTTCCCCGGCTCCCTTTCCCTAACTCAGACCCCGGCTGGCCAAAAATGAACCAACCCCACTTGGGCTGCAGCGTCCAGGGCCCCTTTCCCCGGAGCGGAGAGCCGCGCCGGCCCGCCTGCTCCCTGCGCTTCGGACAAGCCCGATCGTCTCACACCCCTCGGCCGCTTTGCAGCCTCGAGGGCGCTCATTGAGCGGACTTTGTTCCCCGGGCTTGTTGTGCTTCGCAGGTGAAATAGGCTGTCTGCAAACAGCTGAATTCAAACGGCCCCGCTGGAAAAGGGGGCCTTTGTCAGCAGGACACAAAACGCTGAATTCCTCCAAACTTTCTTAGGCGTGCTGGGGGGGAAGGGGGAGATATAGGGGCCTTTTCATGGCTTGCTTTACTTCTGGCCAGGCTAAATCTCTCCCCCTTCCCAAGCTCCCCGTGATAATCCTTCCCTTTATTTTAGAAACATACAAAACCAGGTTCCACGCCGCGCTATAGTGGCGCCCAGTGAAAGGGAACTGAGCGGCTCTGAAGCGGCGGAGGAAAATTGGTTCTGTTGAATAGCCCCGGAGAGGGGGCGAGCGCTTAATCAGGGCAGGGGAGGTTCTGCCCTGGCAGCCCGGCCCCCGAAAACAGGTGGCTCTTGGGCCCTCAATTAGACAAACAGCAACGTCCCTACAGCCGCGGTTTGTAAAGCGCCCCTCGGGATCAACTCGTTGTCGTGCAAAGCAAAGCAAAGCCAACCCCGCGAAGCCCCACCGTTGCAATAAGGTAGCGTGGCTTCGAAACGAAACTCAGCGGATGAAAAGGGGGCGAGTCACCAGCCCCAAAGCAGAGGGTCCTTCACCCCAGCGGGGCACCGCTGAGAGATTTGCAAAACCCCTTCGCAGGCCGGGCGATGCCCCGTTTCAGAAGCAAAAGCCCCAGCCCTGTCTTGTGATCCTTGCCACGCCGTACCCGGGGATTTAAGGTTAATCGCCGCGTTACACGGGGAGGAGAATTAAACTTAGTTTAATTAACATTAATAACACCGCCCTAATTAATGGGCTGGCTATTAATGTCGACATGCCGGGGAGGCTCGCCGAGAAGTGACAATTTATTGCAATGGAGCCGAGCGCAGATGGGTTGCCAGAATAACTCGAGCGTGCTTGTGTGGTGGTTTGTTGTGTGTGTGTGTTTTTTTAAACAACCCTCCTACCTTTAAAAAAAAAAAAGTCCTGCCGCTCCCTCCCAGTGGCTTTTCTAACCCGAGCAGTAACTACAGCGCTTCTTTCCACCCGACTTGTGAATCGCACTTGCTTTCTAATTTGCCACATGCAAAACGATTCCTCTGTTTTGCAAGTTGCTTTTGCTTTTTTTTTTTTCTCCCCCTTCCCCTTAAAGGCTGGCGGATAAATTGTGCGCCTTAAACTGGCAGGAGGGAAGGAGGGGGCCCGCTGCACCTCAGTCCGGCGCTGGGGCTCAGGGACGCTGCACCGTGGCCTCCCCATGTCATTCTGCTTGGAGTGACTTCGTGTGATGTCAGCTCTCAGTGTCAGAGCCGGCGAGCTGGCGCTCGGGAAGATGTTGGCTATCAAAATGTGACAGTGTGGCCACTCCGCGCTGCTGGGACGCGTCTCCTCGGTGCTGGGCAAAGGTAATTCATCCCCTCCCTGCAAGAGCAGAGCCAGGCGAGCTCGGGCGGAGGAGCCCGCTGGGGTGGTGGGGCTGTGGCTTGGAGGTTACTTTGGTGTGTTTGGTTAATGAGCATTAAGCGGGTGTCCCCCCTCCCGGGGCCATTGTTCTTGGGTAGGGTCATTTGAAGGGGGGGGGAAAGGAGGGGAACAAGGTGCTTATTAAGTTGATTTGTCCCCTGGCTTTTCTGGAATGCAGAGCTGAGACCGGGAGCGCCCAGCCGGGCTCGCTGCTCGCCTCCTGCCCGCCATGGCGAGCTCGGCGGCCGTGGAGACGGTCATGCCCTCGGCCTGCCCGCGCCACGAAGGCAGGAGCGGCGCCTCCAACCCCTCCAAGACGTTGGCCTTCTCCATCGACCGGATCATGGCCAAGAGCGCCGAGCCCAAGCCGGCCTTCGGCGGGCTGGAGCCCGAGCCGGCCAAGAAGAGCCTGGGCCTCTGCCCGCCGCTGCCCTGCGTGCTGCCCGTCCCGCCGCTGGCCTACGAGGTGCACTCCAAGGCGCTGCTCAGCTACTCCGAGCTCTGGAAGGGCAGCGCCCTGCGGGGCCCGGCCGGGCTGTGCAAAGCCAACTGCGGCATGTGCTGCAAGGCGGAGCTGGGCCTCGGGCACTCGCTGCTGCCGGCCGGCCGAGTGATCAAGCCCCAGGCCATCAGCCAGGCGGCGGGGATGCCCGCCCAGGGCTCCGTGTATTACTTCAACTACCTGGACTCCGCGTACCCCTCCGAGCTGCTCCCCGGCCAGCTCTTCCCTTCTAGCCTGCTGGGCGCGCAGCCCCCGGCCGGCCTCTCGGCGCACCACAAACTCTTCCTGCTGGAGAACGCCAAGCTGGCCGGGCTGGCGCCGGAGAAGTTCCCCAGCGCCCAGTACCCGCACAAGGAGCGGCTCCCCGGCCAGCTGGACCAGGTGATGAAGGAGAACACGGCCCTGGCCGGGGAGAGGAACGGGGTGAAAAACCACAGCAAGGTCAGCGGCTCCGCGGACGGCAAGCCCAAGAATTTCACCTGCGAAGTGTGTGGCAAGGTAAGTGGAGCCCGCAGCCCAGCGCTGGGGTTCACGGGCTGCCCTCCTGGTTGTGTGTGTTTTTAGGGCAAAGCAGGGCCCTGGAGTTGCACCTTCTGGGAACAGCCCGTGAGAGGAGACAGGGCCCCGGCGCCCCTCGCCTGAAACGCTTCCCTTGTGTTTCCTCCTAGGTCTTCAATGCCCATTACAACTTAACTCGCCACATGCCAGTCCACACGGGGGCCAGGCCGTTCGTCTGCAAAGTTTGTGGCAAGGGCTTTCGCCAGGCCAGCACCTTGTGCAGACACAAAATTATCCACACGCAGGTACGTGCCGGGCTCGCCTTTCCTTTTACAACCAAATCAAGTTGTTGCTGTTGGTTTTCTATTTTGATTATTTGACAAAAGTGGCGCCGAGGGTCCCCCCGGCCCAGACACGGGCCTTGCCGGGCTGGGGCTTTGAACGGGCAAGATTTCGCCAAGTTTCTGCACGTATTTCTTGTCCTTGTCTTTCCCCAGGAAAAACCTCACAAATGTAACCAATGCGGCAAAGCTTTCAACAGAAGCTCCACGCTAAATACGCACATTAGAATCCACGCGGGCTACAAACCTTTCGTGTGTGAATTTTGTGGCAAGGGATTTCACCAAAAAGGTATTTTTAAAAAAATCAATCGCCTCGGTTGTTTTTGTTTTTAATTTAGCTGCCCGAGGTTCCAGCCAGGCAAAGCAACGGGGGAGAACGGAGAGGCTGGGTTTCCTAACCTGTGTGCCGCTTCAAATCCTTGATCTCAGCAGGAAGAAATTATTTGGGGGTACGAAGTTCCCCACTGGCCCAGCAGAATAACGCCCAGCTGCCCACAACGTTCGGGGCGGGCTCGGTCCTATATATCGAGACATGGAGGCGCTCCGCTGGGGGGGGACAAAAGGGTTATAAAAAGGGGGACCCCAGCAGTGTCCCGCGTGGCCAATCTAGGCTTAAAGCGGACCCCGAGGTTGGCCTACAAGGCAGCCACCAAGCCGGGCCGTTTACACACGTATTTAATGTGGTAGCTCCGCGTTTGGGTCTCCGGCTCGCTAGCGGAGTGTAATAGAAGGAAACATTCCCGCTGCAGACAAGTTTCGGAAGAGCCTTTCTCTTCCAATGATTTCCCTCTGAGGCGGGCCGCAGCCCGGGGAATTCCTGACGGTCTTCACTAAATGCTTTTTTTAAATTAGGTGCCATTTTGGGGGGCCTTATCCAGGTTCCTCCGTTTGCCCCGGGTCAGAACACTGACCCGGCCTCTAATTTTGTTATGTGTCAGTTGTACGCCGCTCGGCTTTGATGCAAACTACGTTTGACAACTTCTCGACTCCCCCTTGCAGGACACGTCCTAATGAAGTCGTGCAGCGGGGCTTAGCGGGGCAGCCCCAGAGCTTGGGAAACCCACGAGTAACCGCATTTCCCCTCTTTCCTTTCCCCCCTTCTCCCTCTCGTAGGAAACTACAAGAACCATAAATTGACTCACAGCGGCGAGAAGCAGTACAAATGCACCGTCTGCAACAAAGCCTTTCACCAGATCTATAACTTGACTTTCCACATGCACACTCACAACGACAAGAAACCCTTCACGTGCGGCACGTGCGGCAAAGGCTTTTGCAGAAACTTTGATTTAAAGAAGCACGTCCGAAAGCTACACGACACCGCGACCCCTACAAAAGCGCTGCCCAGGAGTTTGCAAACCTAAAAGCTCCGTTCACTCCGCGCTAGGTGCCAGCCGCCGAACTTGCCACCTGGGTCCCCGAGGCCAGCACTCTCTCTGCCAACCTGGCGATTGTTTCAACACCAGCTTAGCAGGTGACTAGCGGCCAGAATTCCCAGTCGCATTTGTATATAAGAAGAAACTTATTTAAAACTCCTTTTTGCCACTCAACTCCTGGGATTTGGTTGTCTTGGGTTGAAGGGGGAATTAGGGGTTTGTTTTAACCTAACGTCTCACCAGGGCCGATCTGTAAAATATGGGCCACCAGGGCCGTCTTTATATATGTCTGTAAAATTAAATTCTAATGTACAATCGAATAAGGAATATACATATATATATGGGATAATAAAAAGTCAATTCGGAGTCTTTTTCCGCCTTTTAAAAAAGCTTCGACTAACCCTTGAATCGTTTTAAAAAAATGCTTATTCAAGCCAGGGACCCCCCCTCCCGGAACGGTGCGGCCCCGATCCAGTGTCCGCTCGGATTTCGTTCTGCTCCGGGAATCGCTGCTCCGAGCGCGTTTTGTTTCGATTCCGGCACTTTAGACGGGGGGAAAGAGGACCACGGTTTGCTAGCCGCAGAAGCCGGAGTGAGAAATAAAACGCGAGATGCGAAGGAGCCTTTAAGAGCTGCAAGGACTAATAAACCAGCCGAGAAAAGCTCCGAACCTGCTGTCAGTGTCTCTGGCTGGGAGGAAATTACCTGTTTGCTTAACTGCTTCTGTCCTGGGCTAGTGTTTCTCTGCAGCGCGGGGGGCCGCGGACCCTGCAGGGCCAGGAGTGTGGTGAAAAGCTACGCGCTGCCATCCCCCTTTCCCGGGGGAAGTGGCGGAGCGAACCGCTCGCTGGAGCCACTCGAAGCGCGACCGGTCGCTCCGGCCCAGGTAGCAATTTTCCACCCAATATTGCGCAGTTATCTAAGCCCAGGAAAAGCTCGTGGGAAAACTGCTTGGTCCCCCTTCCCCCTTGTTTAAAGGGGGCTGGTTTGTTTTTAGTGGGGGCTTTTTAGGAAGCTGAGACAGGCCGGGGAAGAACGTTAAAAATAAAGGAAGGCACGTAGCGAAATTAAACACAATCAAAGAGGGCACAGGGCTGGGCTATTCCTCTAATCTCCCCTTCCCCTCGCATTTGAGCGAGAATCGGGTCCCCCGGCGGCTTTGCTGTAATAGGGGCAGTAGGATTCCAGCCTGAAGATGGACGGTAATTGGGGCTTTCCATAATGTCACCTTTTGGTCCCTTCATTAAGGCGCGTTTAGGCCCGTTTCCTGCAGGGCTATCTTTGCCCTGAATGCTGATGCAATGATCTCACGCTTGCTTTCTGAGTAATGACCCAAATTAAGAGCGAAAATACAGACCCTTCAAACCGCATTACATTAATCTAATCACTCCCAGCAGGGCCCAGCAACCCCTTTTTGATCAGAATATGGATAATCAAGCCCTTGGATTAGACTAACTGGTCCCGTCCCTCCTCCCAGGCTCTTAATATGCAAGTGTCTATTCTGCCCACGTCGGGAGGAACAATATTATTCTAGCGGGGAAGGGAGATTCAGCGGGCCGGGCCCGTGCGTGCGGCTCCCTCCAAGCTCGCCAATGAACACGCGAACCAGCCGGGCACCAAATGGCTGGGGGCCGCTTCAGCGGAAGTTCGCTTTTCCCCACTTAATTGAGTGGCTAAATGCGGGCAGGCGAGGGGCCCCCTGCGTCCGACTGAGCTTCGCCGCTTGCTCCAGAGGGGCTCGGGGGCGCGTGATCAGATTCCCAAGGGGGCTTGTCCTCGTTATTTGTACTGGGGGGAAGCGACACAGGTTTTCAGGCCAGAAGCATCTTCCAATGGGGACCAGGCCGCTCTGCCTTCGAACTTGCTGCAAGATTCATCTTCATTTCCAGATATAAAATCCCGCTCAGAAAAAAAACGTCTCTAAATCTGACCCCCCGGCTGCAGGGATCCCTGCTCCCGGGGGAGGTGCTGCGCCGGAGAGCGGGTCACAGAACTTTTTAGGGGAACATCCCCGGGCCGTTCGCTTCCCCCCAGGCTGGTGCAAAGAGCGGCGCTCAGAGGGGGGGCTGCCCGGGCCCCGGGCGAACCCGGCTTTGGAGACACGCGCTGGGAGCAGCAGAAGTTCTCCCTCTTCCAAGCGACCCCGCGGGGACCGGGACCTGGGCCAGGTGGAGGCTTCAGGGCAGCCCCGGGGTGCATTGCTCACCTCTGGGACAGCGGAGTCCCGCTGGGGGCTTTCCCCCTGGCCCGCTCCCTAGCCAGGGGTCTGGCTCAAAGGGCACAGCCTGCTCCCAGGGGCGGTTCGAGGGGAGCAGGATGGGCCCAGCACCGCTAGAAAGGGCCTTGGAGCCCGTTTTAAACGGGTGACTCGTTTTGCAACCCAGCCCCCAGGCCGGGTCCTCCGCAGGAGCGGGCCAGAGGAGCAGCCGGTTGCCTTCGCCCCCAGCGAGGCGAGGCGAGGCGAGGCGAGGCCGTGCGGGCTGCAGGGGTGGCGGGGGTGTCAGAAACAGGTGGTGGTGACACAGGAATACGCGTCCGCGCTAGTCATTTGCGAGGCCCCTACAGCCAAATGAGCAGCGTAATTGCTCCTTTCTGCAGTCTCGCCTCCAGCCCCGGCGATGGGAAGAGCCTGGTCCCTAGAGCGGGAGCCCTGGGGCTGGCAGCGTAGGAACGCGGCCTGCTCACCCCACGGCCCATGGGCAGGGGGCCTTCACTGCCCCTCCCTCGGGCATGGGGTGCGTCTCCCGGCTCAGTAAGCCAGCCTGGGCCCTGGCCGGAGCATCAGCAGGTATCAGAACAGCTACCTGCCTGCACCAGGAATGGGGGGGTCGGGGGGGAGCAGCTACCTGCCTGCACCAGGAATGGGGGGAGTCGGGGGGGGAGCAACTACCTGCCTGCACCAGGAATGGGGGGGGAGCAGCTACCTGTCTGCACCAGGAATGGGGGGGGGAGGGGAGCAGCTACCTGCCTGCACCAGGTATAGCGCGGGGTGGGGGGGGGGGGCGCTGCAGACGTCTTTCCCGGGGTGTCACTCTCGTGTTTCTCTCTCGCATCACACGCCACGCTTTGAACGGCTCCTGCCTTCTTTTAGCGCCCGCCGCGGTCCCGGTTACCCCTGGGGAGGGGCCGTCGCCCAGCGGGGTGGAACCGCGGTGCTTGCAGCAAGCGGCCCCTGCCCTCCCACGCCAGCGCTCAGCCGCCGGCCGGCCTGGCCCCGCCGAGCAGCAGCGGGCGAGCCGCGCGTGGAACCGGGCCGCTCCGGAGTGACTTCCAGGCCCGCAGAAGGAATGTTAAGGGGCTAGACCCGGCTTCCCATTGACGCGAGCGGCCCCAGCCCCGCCGGCTGAGGGGAGCAAGGTCGAGTCCTGCTCGAGTTAGGAAGAGTTGAAAGGGACGGGAGGGGCTGGATTATCTCCACACGCCTCTGGGTGCGGAGCTTGATCTTCGCCAAGGGCAGGGGGGAGGCTGGGCTCTGACATTGACCGGGGGATACAGCCCCCGCTACGGCCACACGCTATTCGGGGGGGGGGGATGTTCACACACACACACACGACTCCAATTATCTTCCCCCCCGCAAGATGTTGCTGCTGTCCATGACTGCTCACACTTCAGCAATCTTGCCAGCAAGCCTCAAATCATAATAATACAAACACAGCCATGAACACAACAGCTTGAACAGGCCTGGTACTTTTTTTTGGGGGGGGGGGTTAGAGGGACCTCTATGTAAAGTGACACTAAAGTTGCCACCATTTCAGACCCCACCCCCCTTTTTGTGCGCTCCATTTGCCTTGCTGCTGGGGGGGGGTGCTATCCCCCACGTGCTAATTCCAGCCTAACACCTGCCCCCCACCCCGGAAGATGAGAAAAGGGGGGGGCAGGTGTGTGGAGCAGCAGGGGGGGCAGCGGGCTGGGGAGAAGCACTGGGAAGCGACCAACCCAAAGGCAGATGCGTTGCCCTTTTCCCTGCACTCCGCTCTCCAAACGTCTGAGCAACCGGTTTGCTGCTAGAAACATGTTAATTGCCAACGGAGCTCATTAAGGCATGCACATGCAAAACACAGCGAGGGAGATTAAATGGACAAAAGCGCAATAATGAACTGTCAACAATCGAACCCATCTACACGACCAGCAGCACTCAAGAATGAGGCATTTGGAGGCAACAAAGGATTGTCTGGGACAGGAAGAAAGGACGACCTAGACTTTTGTTTAGTCAACACAATTGATTACAAATGAGAGATTAACAGGATAGCTCCAGAGTTTTTTTGAAGGAGGCAGAAGAGAAAAGTCCAATTAAGTCCACCGAATGTTAACTACATTGATTTCCACGGCCAGCCCCAAAGAAATTCTCATTAAACCATCCCTGGCGATCCCTTTTGGAAAGTAATTTGTCTCCCTGATGGAGCAGAGAAAGGGAGCGGTGTACAGAGAAAGACGCGCTAGTTCTTGGCACAATGCGCTTAGGAGACACACTGGAAAGAGCCAAAGGGGGAGTTAATGAGCATCTGACAAGCCGCTTGGATTCAGGCCTGGAGAGCAGTGATGAAAAGATGGAATTGGCCAACAACTATTCTTTATATCAAACATAAAAAGGCCAATCTGAAACAGGGCTGCTTAAAGCTGGTGGGGAAGAAAAGCAAGGCCCCCACTGCCCCATTGGGATGGCAAATGCATTGGCATGTCCTCTCCCAACCGGGCTCGGGCTGGACAAGGCCTTCCCAGGCCAATCCCCCCTCGCGGCAGGCGCTCCTACGGCCATAGACAGCCTTCAAGCCCAGGAGCTCGCAGGGAAGCCTAGCTGTGTCACAGTCCCACCTCTCGTAGAGCACGTCAAGACAAGGAAAAAAGTGTTTTAAACACATTAGCAGATGTGTTAAAATCCTACTCTGAAGACAAGGTAGTTGCCGTTTTAACACTTGTTAATTGGTATAGGTAAATCCCAGACGCCCTCCCAGAGTTAGCTTGGACCAGCTAACACCTAGGACTGGCTCGTTTCACTGGGATTTTAACACATTAATAAAACACCTTGTTTCCCTAATGAAGACATGGTCACGTTAGCACCTGTTTACCTGAATTGGCAGGATCAGAGGTTCTCAGTCAGCCTTTTAAAATTGGGCTTACTTGTGTCTACACCGGTGTAGAGTGGGGTTTGCAATTGAGTTAAGATAGCTCAAGGTAACAATTAAAAATAAATAAGCTTTTTTCCTACTCTAGACAAGTCCAGCATGGGCACCCGTCAATCAGTTTAGAACTGGTTTATATTGATTTTGGCCTAAGTCAGTATTGACTTTGGTTTAGAAAAGGCCTAGCCAGTTCGCTTAAGTCAATAGCAGGCTCAATTCATAAGCCCTTTTAAAACCAATTTGTCC